GGTCGGGATATGTAACAGGAGAACCGCAATTCGCCGCGCTGGTGGGCGGTTAGCGATGCGCCGACTGCATAGTTCGGAGGCGGGACGGGTGGAGGGGAGCAGGGGTATACGATGTTCCGATGTCGACATTCCTTTCAGGAAGAGTGTCTGAACAGGGCATTACGAATGTTAGTTTTTGTGTCGTTGTGGGGCATCTCACTAGAACCACCAAGCCCGCCCACATGAAGCACCGCGCGCGTCGGCGCGGCAGATCACAATTGTTTGACCGTCTCTCTAGGGGACAGGACCGTATCTAGGGAAAGCGCTCATATTTCGCCTTGAGAATTTTAACGACTAGTGGTTTTCTAGTTCTACTCTCATTATAGGCCGGTATCTGAATAGAGTTACCTTACGAAAAGGAGCCATCATACTCTATATATAAAGCAGAAGTTGTCTGTCCGTTTGTCGGACCAATAGGAGAATAGGCTCCGCCCACAATGGGCGGGGCCTATATTCAGCTGAGCGGTGGCATTCCACCCCTCGCCTTTACGAAAATTTCACGACCGTCCACTAGGGCGGGGGGGGGGGATATACCAAAGGTGAAACGGTAACCGACTGGTAAGGAAAAAATTCAAGAAGTCGTATAAGGAAAAAATTCAAGAAGTCGTACTGGCCTCACCGTTTTACACAACGCGATGGTCTACCCCGCTCCTCGGGCTATGGGAAAAGCGCAAGAATAAGAACGGCCTGTTCCGCCACATGGACCCTCATTTACTGTAGCGCTCCTTCATGCACAAGGCTGCATTCAGAATCTATGCAGGCGATGGCTGCAGCCGGTCATTGTAAGGTTTGTATGCTGCGTAATCCATACTTTAATAAGTTCGAGGTGTGCATGAATTACCAGATGACCACTAGTGGCCGTAACAGACGTAACGTAATAGCAAATGAGCGCGATTACGCAACCGCACCCCAACATTCCCACAATACTGTGAAAGTGAACTCACAAAAACTGTAACAAACCTCTTGAGACCAAATAAGCTCTGCTTCTGGATATTTCTGGCATTCAACTTGAACCAAATCGTACGGGAACGGAGAAATTTGTTCTATACGGCAGATCGCCACCGAATCCTCTTTTCCCACATGCTTTCTGGCCATTACCAAATCGTAGTACACTTTTCCTAAACGAGCCACACTTAGTCGTTTATAGTTCCATTCACGACTTAGAACCCACTACCTCGGGGTCCGCCTTTTGTTCGGCGGTATTAGGTATTGAGTATACATTACTAGCTGCTACTGTTTTGCGCTAGTGAACCGTTGCAAGGATCCTTGGAATCATAGATCTTGCTCGCCGTCCACCCCATCATTGTGTTCGAGTCCCACGGACCGTGTCCGGTCGCTGGGGAGAACGGATCGCATTTGGCATCAAAAATACTTTCTCGATTATCCTTCCAAGCACGCTGTTCCATCCCGTTTCCTTCCTCTGCCCCAAAGGATGATTGTGAACAGGGCACCACCCACTGCTGGGGGAAATTTTTGCAAAGTGCGACCCTCTTCGGATTTCTTCCTCTGGTAGGACTCCTTCCCCATCCTACCTACCAACTTTCCTACCACTTTTCAGGGAATTGTCAAACGGGGAAGGCTTTTAAATTCGTTTGCGACTTCTCCTGAAAGGCATCTGCGGCCCCCTCTCCGGATGTGGGCACTTACGCCTCCACCCCCCCCCCCATCCAGCTAGTTCTCCCAACAATATAGGCCCACCCAATGCAAACACTTTAATCAAAACTATCCAAAAAAAAGCTAGAATTCATTCCCCCTCCATCACCGAATACGACCCGACACCGAAATACCTTTCCAACACACGATGTGCCTGACTTCGAACGCACGGTTCCTTAAAGACAGTCCGCGATAAAACAGTGTCAAGGATAAATTGCTTCCACAATTATGAAACGGTGTCCATGAGTCAGTTCTTCAACTAAGAGAAAAAAGAAACAAGAGCCCTCGAGAACAACCATAAACAAAAATCGCGCTCCTGACCAGTCATACCTCCCTCGTCTCGGGATGTCTGTGAAGAGGGGGGGGGGACGGGGGGGGGCGCGGCGAGGGCCGGGGGCGGGGGCGGGGTGGTGTGGGGTGGCGGGGGGGGCGCGGGGGGCGAGGGGGGCGCGTATGTTGGGGGGCTTGGGGGTGGCGCTCGCCTGGCGGGCCCGCTCAAAAAAAACACGAACCGTTTTTTTTCTTTTTGTTTTTTTTTTTTTTTCTTCTTTTTTTTCTTCAAGTTTCCTTCTTTTTCTCTTTTTCTTTCTTTTCTTTTTTTTTTTTTTTTCTTCCCTTTTTCTGGTGTCTGTTTTTTTTTTGTGTTTTTTTTTTTTTCTTTTTTTTCTTTCTTTTCTCTTCTGTTTTTGTTTTTTTGGTTTTTGTCGGCTGGGCCGTGCGAACTACATACCCCCCCCCCCCCCCCCCCCCCCCCCCCCCCCCCCCCCCCCCCCCCCCCCCCCCCCCCCCCCCCCCCCCCCCCCCCCCCCCCCCCCCCCCCCCCCCCCCCCCCCCCCCCCCCCCCCCCCCCCCCCCCCCCCCCCCCCCCCCCCCCCCCCCCCCCCCCCCCCCCCCCCCCCCCCCCCCCCCCCCCCCCCCCCCCCCCCCCCCCCGAAAATCACTTTTTCACATATCTCCCAGGTAGTGGTTGATATTTGAATGCGAAGAAAAGGACACAACAAAAAAAACCAACAAAAAATGAGAAAAAAAAAACTCTTGAAAAGGAAGAGGAAAACATTTCATAAAGCCGGCCCCCGAAACTTACGGTTACTTGTACGCGAGCATTGTCTTAGTTACTGAGTGCGTCCGGCTTTTGCCCACCACAGGAATTGCATCATTCGTGATTTTTACGCGTTTTACCTTACGAGATGGGCTGTTGTTGTCTATACGTGCTCCTAATGAATAAAATGTGATGAAGGAGAGCAGAATTATTTAGGAGAGGCGATCCAACTGAGCAGGCATTAGAACTAGAATTTTGAGCGGTTCTAGCTCGCTCCTCGCTCGCTGAGGAGTCGCGAGAGTGAGATAGCTCCAGTGGGGGCTGAACTACCTGCCCAAGGAAGGACGACCATGTACTACTTGAGCGCGGGGGCTGTCTTTGACCTTGATATCATTGAACTCCTTCCTCTGAGATCCAAACGTATGTCAGAACATGAGAATCATGTGGCGCGTCTGCCTACATGTCCAACCAATATCTTTTTGCTAATCATCTGCACCTACTTACCTGTGCAGAAAACAAGTCGCTTCACAGCACCATGTTCAGCGTTGTCAGGAATAACGCGCTGGAAAGTTGTGCCAGTCTTGAAATCTTCGATTGGTGAACGAGCCATCGGATGACGAAGCAGTGACTTTGGTGTCATCACCACAGCTGGCTTACGGAACGGCATGGCTACCTTCAATCAAAATATGACAACCAGTGCTGGAATAGGAAGCACGTACAGAAAAAAGCTTGAATCGACCTAAAGAAGGAATGAACTCAAGTAAAGGAATAGAAAAAAAGAGAAAGCAATGGTGTTCGACTTGGTGGGTGGCCAAATGATGCTCAGTGAAGTTCCTGGTTTCATCAACGTCGGACATATTAAACATGAACTAGCGAGAAAGGAAAGTACCACCCCTACCCCTCACCCCCCTCTAACCCGAACAGCGCCCAATAGGGCAAATGAATAACTCACCTGTCTTCTAAGCAGATGGAAAAGGTTGGCAGGAGTGGTACAGTTGGCGACGATCCAGTTGGTGTCATGGAGCTGCTGGGCTTCAAATGTGCCACCAAATGCAATATTCTGCAACACATAGAATGAATAAAGTTAACAACGGGGAGCGTCAGTGCTTCAAAAATTCTACCAAAAACCCAACAGTCAGTGCTTACTTCTAGATCAATCCGATCATCCTCATTACACATTTGTAGGTATCTCTCTGGACGAGCTGATGAGTGTTCAGGTCCCATTCCCTCGTAACCGTGGGGCAGAAGCATCACAAGGCCAGACTGACGGATCCATTTAGACTGTCCTGAACAGTGTTAAAACACTACATCAAAAAAATTGGAAAGTGAGCAATTTTTGCTAAAATTGGCTCGGTGGAGGCCAAATGGTACTCAGGGAACCCTGCACAGACCACCTTGTGAAGTTCTGTGAATACTTATGCCCCTTGCACCACTTCGCAGCTTCGCATTTGTCAGCTAACATGAACTAGCCAAAAGAACTAGCAGTAGTGCTTGGAGACCAGCGCCGCAGCCTCTACAGACCTCAAAACACAAATCAATGAACAAAAGCACCAACCTGACGAAATGAACTGATCGATTACGCACTGGGCATTATTGGCAAAATCACCGAACTGGGCTTCCCAGATGACCAGTGAATTCGGGTTGACCATAGAGTATCCTAGAGTTGAGCAATTCAAGTAAGAACAATTCTGGGCATTCGGTAACTAAGCCTATCGCTGCGGGAGTGCTGGACTGAGGCTTTTTTAGCGTTTGCGCCAGCGCTGTTTTCCACGAATATTTGCCATTTGCCCGTTTTGTTGATGGAGAAGTAGCTCGAGCACGTGAAACCCTGCCGTGGCACGTCCCTGCATTCGCAGCGGACCAAGACTGCATTAAAGACACATAGTACGCTCATACACATTGAGGGTGTATGAGACTATCAGCCCCCCAGATGTCGATGTGTCGTGGTCCCCCCGCCCAAACATGCCCGGGAATGGAGATACAGGGCCGTGAAACACGCTAATTCTTCCATGCTCCGCCCACTGCCTTTTTACGGCGCAGATTCCGCGTAATAACATCCCCATTGCAGAGCGCGCCTGGTCCGCGTGCCGACTTCCTTGGCACTTTGCCAAGTCCTTTAATTGCGCTCTCAAATACAAGTAAAACGCAATTTCCTGATGCGGATAACATTGGAGGTGCTACAAAATAAGAGCAGAAGATGATGACAAGGGGCAGAACTCAAGAGCAACTCGGCTGCATCTGCAGTATCCATCAAGGGCCGTCCGGCGGCAGTTCCCACAAAACAGTGAAAAATAAAACACCCCGGCCTAAGCGCCGCACTCGTTTGTTCTAAGTATTTCTATGGCTTTGGCGCCGGATCGTAGAAATTTACAGGCCAGTTTATCTAATTTGCCTTTCCTTGATTTTTTCATTTTTGTTTTGTTTACATTTACATCGTTGTGCTTCATTTCTAGCCTGTGTCATCTTCATCTCCTTGTACATGGATTTTGAAGCATGAGCAACACCTAAAATTTTATTCGCATCAGGAAATTGCGTCTTGCTTGTATTAAACTAACGAGTATGCCGTTTTTATTTTCATGTTTCGTGGAAATACGTGGCCTCCGAGGGATGTTGCAGAAGTGGCA